ATATATGAACAACTATATTTAGCATGAGTACATTTTTACAAGAAGACATCTATGTTTTATGGCAATCTGCGTGACAAAGAGTGTCTAAGGTGTGGTGCGGAAGACGAAAAAACTCAGAAGAGGCGAGGGAACGATGGCCACGCCTCCCACTTGCCTGCTGTTTGGTGCTGGCCTCGAGTCAATTAGTCAGACTGACGCTCTTGACGTGCATGCTGGCGCCGAAATGATGGCGGTGTCCTCTTCGGCTACTCTGTTTTGTCTATGAGAGTTGTTGTGCGAATTTGGTAGGTGTGATCACTCAGTGTACAAAGGAAAGGTTGCGTAACTCAGTGTAGAACTCGTAGACTGTTTAATGATAGCTAACTGATTGCAGCGTGAGTTTTGGCAACAGAATTCGATTTTGGTCGTATGTAACTCCTAAAGCATATTTCGATTAACTTCTAGATTAAGTGAGAAACCGAACGAAAACAAAACGGCAATAAGGAATTGGCAAGTAGAGATGGGCACAAGGAAATGTTCGTACAGGAATAGGGGTACTGTTTTGACAGGGGAGAAGCTGGGTAAGACAACTAGTGGCTTATAATGACTTATACCATCCACAAAGGCGCGCAGCAGATGTGGAAGACAGATTCAAGGTCAACGATCTTTGCTGCATATAACAGCTTGTTTGGATTGGCCACTTCGACTTCTGACCATTCCCTTGTTCATCAATGACCGGCCTAAAATGACATAAAAAGTCAAGATTCTGCACCATATTTTGAGAACTCAAGTTTGGGGCGGAGCGGATGTCACACAAACTCATCAATTTGTGTTATCAATTTACAAATATTTGATCTGACCTCTGATGAAATTTGGCAGAAGGGGCGTGTGAACAGGTTAATTACGAAAAAACGTTCCAAACCAATTTTCTCTACTCATTTATTTAGCAGTGCATTACCTCTGCTTCGCAGAGGCTCGCGCTAATTTTCTTGCCTATACCTTTCTCTTGCTCCCATAATATGCTGACCAGCCTGAATGAATGGTGAATAGCTTTCGCCAAAAGCTTTCCCAGTGAGATCGATAACTTGGGAGCAAGAAAATTTTTCTGTGAAGGAACAAAAGCGAGCTTGAATCATCTTTTGACTTCACCTATACGGTTGTTCACCACTATGTATGCTGCCACGCGGGACTTTGCGGTGCTTGGTTTGCGGGCACAATTCACTGCGACACCTTAAACTTGGGTAATTAAACTTTATTAAAACAACCCAATCACACTGAGGACAATACGAAAACTTGAGAACTATGAGATGAGATGTACCTTATGAGGAAGTGAGACTGTGACAGCAACTGAAATACTAAGTGCGAGTGAACAATGCAGAAGAAAACAATACAGTAGTAATAAGCCATGGATCATAAGCTGAGATGTGTGTATATGAAACTGTGGTTCTGTGGGACTGTGAAAGATCTTTGACAGACTCTGAAGGGTGGAGCGATAAGCTGAAACAACAAAGAGTACAACAGCAAGCAATAAAGTAAACAATGAGGAAAACCTGTAAAGCCCTCTCGCCTTGCTAAAAGTACCAGCCAGTATACAGTAAGTACCAGTATACAGTGACCGCCAAAAACTGGCGGACAAGCCGCCTTCCTTTTTTTTAAATACCTTGGATAAAAATCTTCAACCTACCACTGAAGTTGCGCTTTTTCACCCCATTCGTAAAATCTCAATGATCTTTCAAACTCATCTCTTTTGCATATTATCGTGTCGAAAAAGTCACGCTCTTTCGAAAGAGCCCACGAGCAGGGTCGTAGATTGACTGCCGGCCGACCGAGCTACAAGCCTGCAAAGCGGTGCAAGTCAATGGTGAGGTACAGGTGAGTTCATGTGCACGCACTGTCAAAAGCCATTTTTAGCAAAGAAACTTACCAGCACAAGTCCGATGCATAGAGGATGACAAAAAGCATCCATTTTATTCGAATAGCTTTGTTGGAATGTCTTGAATAGGCTTCCATGTGAAGAAATTTGGCTTGAAGAATGAAATTGGAAATTATTTTTTGAAAAGAAGCAAAGTAAAATTCAAGCTTAAATTTTTTTGGAAGCAACCACTACCCAATTAGTGTTCTCGATGAGCTCCACAACATAATATGTACCTGTCCGGCCTTTCGCGGCCATTTTCGGACTTCTTTTAGAAAAAAATTTTGAATTTTTATGGTACATGTTTTCCAGAAAGCGCAATGTGTAATTTTTAGCTCTTGATGAGCTCTATCACTTTATGCAATCCAATCATTTCTTCATTTTTGTTTTTCATCCGAAAATGAGCGATGAAAAAAGGAAGGCGGCTTGTCCGACACGTCTTTTTTGCGGTCACTGTATATGTAAGCGAATATAAACAAATTCCACTGAGCATGAAAAATCTGCTGATAATCTTGCAGCTAACAAAACAATAAACATAAGCCTGTGAGAATATTTTTGTGTTTTAGTTGACATAAGTTGATATCTTCGGAACGCAAGGTACAATAACAGGAAAGTTCTAATTTATGGTTTAAAAACCATGAGTGCACTAATGCTACCAGTGCTATATGCCTGAGCAAAGACCGCTTCAAGTGGAACTTTGACAATTCGCAACGTAATTACCTTCTTTGGCTCCGTTTTCACCAAAAATGGATTTTTTTATCACTGTTTGAGCTAAAATTCATGGCTTGCACATTATACTTGGTACCGAATCGAATAATTACTCGATCATTCGAATAAATCATTCGAATGCGAATGATTCGAAAAGTCGAATATTCGAAAATTTGAGATTTCGCATAAAATTCGGAAGTCGAATATTCGAAATTTTCAGTTTTCGAATATATTCGATAGTCGAATAATCGAAAATCTTCATTTTCGAATATTTTTCGAAAGTCGAATATTCGAAAATCTTAACTTTCAAATATTATTCGATGTCGAATATTCGACGGTCATTCATTTGATCATTCGATGTCCATCAAATATTCGAATATTCGTTGAGCACCGAATATTCGGAAATTCGATAAGAACTGACTATTCGAAAATTCGATATGCATAGCGTATACGGGGTGTCTTGAAAGTATCTACACACCATTCAATCGCTAATACCTCTCAAAGTCTTTTACCATTTTCTGGGTAATATCCAGTAGGGATGTCTTCAGCTTTTAATACAGCAGAAAGCGAATCACTCATGGTTTTTCTCATTGTGTGTCACCACGGTAGGAAGCAGCATATAGACCAATTGCAGAATAAGACATCCAAAAAAGCTGTCCCCAAAAAGGTCTAAAATCTGTGCAGCGTGTTTTTATGTATGATAATTCTACTACGCAAGAGGTTGCAAGCTTTTCACATGGCAATCACACTTTTGAAAGGCGTTGAAAAACACTTGTTACGGTGTATCTGGCGTAAGTTTTGAAAAAAGCATTACGGTTAGATGCAATTCTACATAAAGTGGGTGTTTTTAGAAATCTAATGCAATACTTTCCGCCCTTTTGAATCTTTTTCTTGGGGAAATGGCTCTTGATGTTTTGAGACATTAACACTTACATGAAACAATTTATTCTTGGATGTTTTGGTTCCTTTCATAGGCAGTCTCAATGACGTAAATTATTCGATCAGTATTCGAAAATCGAATAACATTCGAGAATTGAATAATATTCGAAATTCGAATGACGAATGATATTCGATATTCGAATATTATTCGATTCGAAATTTTTATTTTCGAATAATATTCGATAGTCGAATATTCGAAATTTCCGATTTTCGAATAATATTCGAGAGTCGAATATTCGAAATTTTCAATTTTCGAATAATATTCGATAGTCGAATATTCGAGAATTTCGATTTCGAATATTATTCGATATTTGAATATTCGAAATTTTCAATTTTCGAATATTCGAATATTCGAAAAAAATTTCGAATTTTCCCAAGTATATTGCACAACTACTATCAAAAAATCTTTGCAGTAGTATAAATACCGACCGAGCACTGGGGTTCAAAGCCCGGTCGGCACGTTTGATGCGCAGTTTTTGAGGGGTTCGTTTACTGTATATCGCCTCGCTGCTTGGCTGTAGCTCGCTCCGTGTATTTGGACAGACAGAGATTTATATATACAATACACAAACTTAAACAACCCTTGGCCCCGTTATTGTAAGTTACGATTCCACACTTGAACAAATCACTGCTTGTTTCGGCCCTGGCCAAGGCTGTCGATGAATTAGTGTTATCAAATCATGACGAGTCGAAAAATTGTTTTCCAAATCTGTACCCACTACTATATAGCGGGCGAAACATCGGCTTGTGCTTGCACGATTAAGTACGGAGGGCAACTGGCAGTGGTAGCCTCAAGTGCACAAGCTTTCAAGCGTTTGGCGCTTTCAGGGATAGCGGTACTCAGATAATCGCCGGGGGCAGGCGGCCATGCGATTTATGGGCAGGCATGCACCGGCAAGATAGTTCGCTGATTTTTTGCGTGCGCTTGCAGATATTTGGAAGAATTTTGGCCAAATTTTAGACGAATGCTCGGAGAACAATTGCGGCTTTTTTATAGATTAGTTGCGGCCAGTGAACTTTTCGCGAACTTTTCGCGAGAATATGCAAAATTATTGGGGGCCGCAAGGTCTTTTGTGAAGGATCGCAGCCCGTAGGGACCTTCTACAAAGAGAAAATACTCCAAACTCGGGTAATTGAACCATCAATGATGCTCTGTTAGGGAAGTGCTATCTTTGCTCGGTGCACGCCCGAAACTGCATAAAATAAGTCCAACCGCCTGCTGAAAGTTTGGCCCTCGCTAACTAAAAGCGATTACTTGACAAGCGCCTGCAAGAAATTTTATATTGTTGCACGCTGGAGGAACACGGAAGTACCGCGCGCTGAAGGTTTGGCCACTTCCAAGATTTTGCCGAAAAGCAGAAAAGCGGAAATTGCAGAAAAGCGCGAGTTTGCAAATCGCCTGCTACTGCGATTGTCTGAGTATGCTTACTGATTGCTTTGTGCATTTTATTAATCTTTGCAGATCGCTCGGTATCCACGCTACCTTCAGGACTGAAAAGAAGCATGCTCACAACGCTATTACTCAGCTTTCTTAGCTCTACAACTTCCAAGGAATACGGTCCCACTGAAGTATGGGTGAGTGACTTTCCATACGATGAGCAATTCCGAGGTGCGAGGTGTGAACACCCACGGCTAAGTGAAGTCTCGCACCTCCGTGTCCAGTATACTGTAGAAAGGGGGGGGGGGGGAAGGGACCTTTCATACAAAAGCCTCCCAGCATCTTTTGGCAAAGATCTAGTAAAAACTGGCACCATGCCAGGTTTGGGCCTGCTGGCTCCATTCTAAAAAAACACCTAGATTAGCTTTTGCAGTACCGCGAATTTGGATAAATTTGGAAAACTTGAATACTGTATGGATTCAAAAAGTGTTTTGCTATGGAAAATAACACTATGATCTTTCTACTTACGAATTTTTTAGTATTCAAGTCGACATATTTCGGTCTCTTTTGCAAACGTTTTGAATTAATTTGAGTATTGTTACATGCCTCTCCGACTCAGCATGACCTGGAAGTATTACTCTTCCCATAGGGGATATTGGAGGTGGAAGACGGTCAAGAGGCGCGATTTTTCTGGGTGTCATCAACTTAAATCTCCAGTTTCATGCTATGGGAAAATTCAAAAAGTACCGGACAAAATTTATTGGTTCACTAGCTGTCTGAAGTAACCACTTGATAACTTTTGCTAGAAAACTGACAGAAATATTTACAAAATTGCTGTTAACTGCATTTTTATGTGTTATTGACCTTCAACAATTTTGTTTGAAATCGATTTCAAGATGAGATTGAACAATCCCTAAATTCCCTAATATATTTCTTTCGAAATTTCAAGTAATTCTAGAACTTCATAAAACACTAGATATGTGCTATATGCTGCCTATCTGGCAATAGGAATCGCGCCTCTTGACATATCTACACCCATTGGAGGGCATGCGACTTGATAAAGCGAACTATTCATCACCACAATTGTGCCAGTTGTTTGCGAAAATGAATTCGCTGTGTCCTGACGATCTTTGCTATGATACGCTATTTCAACCCGATAAGCTTTCAACAGATAAAATCAAGATATTCTTTAGTTTACTCGTTTTTGATAATAAACGCATTTTAGTCCATTGTAATCGATAACTGTGCGTATTACCAGCACCCTAGCATACGCTAGAAGGTCAAAGTGATCGGGGAGCGTTCGTATGAAAAGTCCCCCCCCCCTCCCTCACCTAGGCGTAGTGGAGAATCTTACTCATTACGTAGATGGAGAGGTTCGATGTAGGTGTGAGGTAGGTGCGACGGCTAGGTGCGAAGTCCCCGATCGTATGAAAAGTCCCCCCCCCCCTCATGTATATGTAAGTTTTGATCGATTCAAAGGCAGCGGACAGGCAAAATGGACCCCTGTCGGATTTTGGTAGTTTCGGGTAGTGGACCCCCCAAGTACACCGTAGCCCCAACCCCACATTCCAATTCATGCGCTAAGTCTTGAAAAAAGCGCTTCAAAACTCCACCAGCCCCGCCCACTTGCATTGAGTGGGCGTTATTGGTGGAAGTTTGAAGCGCTTTTTTCAGGACTTAGCGCATCAATTGGAAGTTGGGGTTGGGGCTACGGTGTACTTGGGGGGTCCACTACCCGAAACTACCAAAATCTGACAGGGGTCCATTTTGCCTGTCCACTGCCTTTAAAGAGGCCATTGGATGGTTCGGACTTCCGCATCAGTAACACTACAAAGTGACTAAGCACTGCAGATCACCCCTGTTTGATTGATTTCAACAAAAATTTTGCCCTTTTCGTCATTTCAAACTATATGACTAAGCTTTAAAAAAAATTAAGATACTTGTTAAAGAGAAGATTGCTTTTTCCGCATGTGTTTCGAATAAACATTAATCTATCCATATTCTATTCATGTTTTGTAAATCTCCAGGACTCAAAGTTTCGTATTTTCACATTGTGGCCGCATCATATCGTGATAACACTCCTGACTTCGCTCTATAAATACAATGGTTGTTTGCAGTCATTGCGAATGCGTTTGCAAATTTATCGCTTGTGAGCGGGTTGGATTGTAGAATAGTTAGTTTACCATTCATCACAGCTATGAGTTAGCAACAGTTGTTTTAGAAGATAACGTTGACTACATGTCCTACTGGACTAAAATCTAATTCCATCTAACATTCTCTGCTTCTTGGAGAAAGCATAAAATAGTTAAAAGGAGTAACGTTGCAAGTGAGAAGATAACCTTTTCGCTGCTGCGATTTGAACTGTACTCCATGTATCAGGTTGATCAGTATCCCGGCAAAAGTCTGACCGCCAAATAGATTTACCTGGGGTTATCCGCAACACCGAATCCGAAAGTCCACGTTGAAAAGCGCGAAACGGAGAACATGCGTTTTTCCAAAGCCTTACAATTTGTATTTGAAAGAGTGGAACATTTCCAGCCAAGGCTGGGACGAAGAGTTTCTGCGGTACAACACTCTAACTGTGGCGGAGCATTGTCAGAGCAGGAAATCAACAGGTGCAGAGGCCTGCCCTCAGGGAGAAAGTCCCCGGCTTTCCGACATTCTCTTATTTGTGTCAAACGTTGTGCCCGGGCATTTGACGATGGCTCGTGCGAGGAGGCTTACTTCCGCAAAGCAATGGAAACCCACGTCCCCAACCTTAACCGGACAAAGTCTTTAAGTGCTTAAAAAACAATGCAAATCATGAAGATCTAAAGCCTGACTCAGTTTATTCACATCGTCTCCTCAGTCAGGGCGATGTGGCCGCAAAGTCCACTTTCGGAAACTGCGATCAAGGTCATCACGTTTAGCGTAGGAAATATTTATGCGGTTCTCATTGCACTCGTGGCCCTAAAGAGGGCGCCTTTGGATCATAGTTGTCGACCATAAAGAGGACCATTGGGATAGCTATTGGAATCATCCAAAGCATCAAGAAGCTTTGTTCTCCAAAATCGTACAGAGTGCTGAGGCCTTAATGGCGGTGTTGGCCTTCGGGTGTCCGAAAAAAGTGCTCTTTTCAACCTGTTATTCGTTTTTCTCAAAAGTTTATACAGTGCTGGCCAAAACTATAATTCCACCCTGAAAACTACCGTAACTCATCTGCTTCTCAACAAATTGATCTGAAATTTGGTACAGTTTTGTGTTTAACAGGCTACCATCAGTAGCCAGAACGGATCCCGTTTTGTTGCTTATTCAGGAAAAAAACTAAAATTTCGAAAATAGCAGGCTTGAAGGTTGGGCCAAAACTAAATTCCACCTGAGGTTTCTGTCCACTAAAGTAATTCTCAGCTTCCAAAGTATTTGTTGCATATACATAATCAAAAGTCAAAACAGTCGCTCCAGTCCAGCTGTGTCATACGTTTATAAGAAACGTTTATGTGCTTTTTTTCGCTCAAAAATACTTTCATGCGCATTTCGTTCCCAAGGATGTGTTTTTATGAGTAATTTCGCAGTTTTTTGACTGATTTGGAAGCAAAAGGGCTCCACCTATCTTATGGATGCTTGACGAAGTGAGAATTAGAAAAAAAATTGGACTCTTTATATTTAAAGCGCACCCGACATAGACCTTACAGCAAGCCTGCGTTCAGATTTTTGCCTCCAAAATTGGTTTACGTTATTTTTAAACTCAAAATGATGTAAAGCATCTTTTGCATAAAAAAAGAAGTTTGTACTTGCGATTGTTGGCCAAGTCACATTTTGCTTCGTTTTCAAAGCATAAAATATTTAGGCAATCCCAAAATACTTACCAAGTGGTACCTTTCCTGATTTTTTGCCACTATTTGGCTTCTAAATAGTGCAAACACCCTGCATTGCATGATACCTTGTGACTTACATGAGCATTACGATCAGAGCCACGAATAAGTTCAAGGCTTTTTGCAAATCAATTTTTGCAGGAAGGATTCCTCAATTAGCCTGCATGCTAGACTGCTAGACTAGGCTAAGACCTGCAGAAATCCGCAATCACTGCAAACGGACTCTCATACGTACAAACAATGTTATTACTCTACTTTACGCTCATAAGAACATTGCAGAAGGAGTTTAAGGGCATAAATTTGAGCGCAGGCCTGCGGTTAGCTCTATGTCGCGTGCGCTAATAAATATGAAAACTCCGATTTTTTTCTAATTCTCACTTCGCTAAGCATCTATAAAATAGATGCAGCAACCAGTCAAAAAACTGCGAAATACTCATAAAAACACAATCTTGGGGGCGAAATAGCATGAAAGTATTTTTGAGCGAAAAAAAGCACATAAACGTTTCTTATAAACGTATGACACAGCTGGACTGGAACGACTGTTTTGACTTCTGATTATGTATATGCAACAAATACTTTGGAAGCTGAGAATTACTTTAGTGGACAGAAACCTTAGGTGGTTTTATAGTTTTGGCCAATTTTCAAGCCTGCTTTTTTCGAAATTTTTGATTTTTTTCTGAATGAGCAACAAAATGGGATCCGTTCTGGCTACTAATGGTAGCCTGTTAAACACAAAACTGTACCAAATTTCAGATCAATTCGTTGAGAAGCAGATGAGTTACGGCAGTTTTCAGGGTGGAATTATAGTCCTGGCCGGCACTGTAGTTTTGAAGAGAAGGAAAAGTTTCGACAGAAAAAGACATGGATTATTCTCTCCTCCGGTCGAAGTTTTTGCAGTAAGTGCCCACACACTACCTTCACTTTTGGCGGACAGCGGTAGCTGGGACCATCTTCAGTTTAGCGAAGCCTGGCTTCTCTCATTCATCGCACCTCTAATCCTCTTGGTAGTGCGCCTTCAAATATTCACTTCAGTAACATGAATGACGCCCACGACATGTTGAGGTAAATCTACAATCAGCGTCCACTACTTTTCAAAACCGCGACTTCATCTCGAAAGAACACTTCCGCTATCTCACAAGCATTCCTTGTGAGATAGGCTAACATTAGTAAACGCAATGGAAAGCCTTTCTTGTACGCAAAAACTCAACCTTCTTTCAAAATAAAACATTCAACTTATTCGGAAATTGCCTAACTTTGATGCTTCACTTTTTACGCAGAAGTGAGTAAGGTTGACAAGTACTGTTGCGGAGAGAATTGCACTGAGAGGAGAGAGCTTCTTTTTGAAT